AAGGAAATTGTGCTGTCATGTCTGAGATCATAGGAGGCATGCCTCCTAGTGTAAGTGACAGATAACCAACTCATTCATTCATTCACTCATTCATTCACTCACTTATTAATTCGACAAATATTTGCTGAGCTCCTATTTTGTGTCTGGCATTGTTTAAGATGCTGGGGATCTGACACTGAAAAGATGATCTGACACCCTAGTTTTTTTTGAGGTGGGCTGGGGAGGAACAGAGAATAATTAAGTAGATAAATAAGTAAAAATGTAGCTCTATGATGAGAAGACTGGGAAATAAGGGGTCTATGATGGTGACTGGAATGGCTCATAAAAATGGGATGGTATGGAAAGACCTCTTTTTGGTAATATTTGAAGTAAGACCTGAATTGTGAGAAGCCAGGTAGGCAGAGATTTGAGGAAGAAAGCAGAAAGTGTGAAGAGACTTGAGGAAGACATGAGACATGGTGACCAGCCTCCAGGATGGTCCTCAGCGTCTCTTCCTGGGATTCATACCCTTGTGCAGACCTTTCCCACAATGACTAGGGGTGATCTGTGACCATTAGGATATGGCACACATGATGGTGTGTGATTTGTGAGGCTAGGTCATAAAAGGGGTTGCAGCTGCTGCCTCTCTCTCTTGGATCACCCCCTCAGAAGGAGGTCAGTTGCCATGTCATGAAAACATTCAAGGTGTGGAATGGAGAGACTGGGGCCTCCTACAAACCCTGGCACCAGCTTACCAGCCATGGGAGCCACCTTGGAAGCAAGTCAAGCAGTCTGTTAAGTGTAGTTCCAACCAACATCTAAACTAGCACTTAAGAGTGACCTTGAGTTGGAATATCCAGCTAAGCCACTGCCAGATTCTTGGCCATAGAAAGTGTGTGAGATGAGAGATCTTTACTGTACAGCAATAAATACCTGATACGTGAGCTCTACCTGCTAGAAGGAGCCAGAGGCTGGAATAGAGTAGCTGAGGGGAGCAAGCATGGTATATAAGACAAAGTGACACAGAGACATCCCAGCCCAGACCACCTAGGGCTTCCCATGGTTGGAAGAGTTGAGTGTATTCTAAACCTGATGGGAAACCATTGGCAGGAAATGATCTATTATTTCAAAAGAAATACTCTCACATGGGAAAAGCTGATTTATTATCTTACATAACTGAAAATTTCAGAACTAGGCATAGCTGGACCCAGAAAGTATCAACAGAAATCTGTCTGTCACCATCTCTGGCCACTGCTTTCCTCTGTGTTGGCTTCATCCTCAGATGGGTTCTCCCCATATAGCTGAAAGACGCCCACCAGCATCTCCAAGCTTACATCATTTACAGAGCTGGCAAACCCAGGAAGGAGAGTTCTTCCCAGTGGTCACAGACCCACTTGGGCTTATTATGGTGGTGATGGCCATCCTGGAACTTGGGAATCACATTATTGACAGCTCTGCAGGAAGCCCAGGGAGTAGGAGAGGGTCAGATTCTAAAAGGGAAGGATGATAGTCACACACAAACACGAAATAGCCAATGTAGCCTTGCCCAGTATTTGTATAACTGAATGAATGACTAACTCTAGTTAGTGTAAGCGATGAAGTTGCATGCCCCTTCTGGGGGCCCCTTGGACTAAGGTAGGCCTTTGGACTTTTCCGATAACTCTCAGACACATCTTCTACAGAGTCAGATTTCATGCCTTGTCTTCCTTTTATTTCAGGGATTCCTAGTGGCCTTGCAGTATGGCTTTGCCAATGGGGAGGTAAGATTTCCATGCTGTCATCTTGGCTTCCTATGAGGTGGGGCTGGAATCCTATGCCCCGGACATTTCTGTTGGTGTGATGGTATTATGGAGAGTGTGCAGGGGCCAGCTTATATTGGGACAAATTTGTATTGTAAGCCTCCAGGAGAGAAAAGAGGAAGCTGCTTAGATAAATGTGAAAAGCTGTCAGGCAGGGTGTAAAGAAGTTCAGAGCCCAGCCCTGGGCCTACTGGAGATGTGCCAAGGGTATTTGAGAGTGGTGGAGGAAACAAGTTTAAACTGAGATTCAAGCCTTGGCTCACCCACTTAGGAACTGTATGAGTCAGGCATGTCATTATGTCTTAATTAGCCTCAATTTCCCTATCAGTAAAATGGGAACAATAACCATCCCTACCTCCTATTGCTGGGCTAGGGTTGCTGAGCATTTGAGAGCTGTAATTACTTTTATTATTTATACTTCACACAGCTGCAATCAGCTCTCTGCTCCCCTTGGGAAGTCTTGTGGGGGGAGGGGCACAGGGCAGCCTCCTCCAACCTCTGCTACCCTCACTCCAGGTTGAAATATTTGTCTCTGCCTCCTCTCACTAGAATGTAAGCTTCTTGACAGCAAAATCCTCTTCCGTTTCACTCACTGCTGCTGCTTCTCTTGTATCTTCACGCAGGGGCTCCTTATCCACGGTCAGCTTTCAGCTGAAATGCCACCTCGGCACAGCCCTTCCTGACCCCCTCGTCCTGAGTTTGTGTCTTCCTGCCACGTTGCCCTGCTTGGCTGCCTCACAGCATCCTCACCGTGTGATGTGCTTATGTGTCTTTGTTTGCCTCTCTTTGTTCACCTCCTCCAGTTAGAAGGTAAATTTCCCAAGGGTGGCACAGAGGGGCTGAATGGACACATGACTAAATGACACCAAGACAGTAACTGTGTCCCTGTCTCACCTGGCAGGTGAAGGCTGAGCTTCGGAAGCATTGGGTCCGCTTCCTGCTGGCCCGCCACTCAGGCTGCAGAGCCTGTGGCTCCGGCAAGAACTTCCGGATCCCCAGCAAGTGTCCCAAGAAGATCTCGGAGGGAGACAGTGCTGAGAAGCTTCAGAAGCTGCAGCCCTCACTTAACAGTGGGCAGCTCCTGCACCTGGCCATGAGGGGACTCGGGGAGCTGGGTGCCCGGCCCCACCAGGGCCGTACTCCCTGGCCCCGGGGCAGCAGTTTGTCCGAGTGCAGCGAAGGGGACGTCACCCTGGCCAACACCATGGAGGAGATACTGGAAGAGAGTGAGATCTAGGTTGGAGGCCCCTGCTCTGGCTCTGCCCCTGGTGACTTCTGAGAGGGCTGAGGAAGGGGGAGGCAAAGCAGGATGGATGTCACCAAGCTCAGAATTGTTCTCTTCCTGTTTGCCGTGCCACTTTGACAGGAAGTCTATCTCAAGGTCCTTCAAGCTCTGTGTAATGCTCATACCTTCTGCTTGCCCTTGTCACCTTAATAACCCCCACCAGAATGACTATGAGACCCTGAGGCCTGGCCCGAAATTCAAACGAGTGGATCCCACCATGAAGAGAGAGGTCTCCCATTACCAGTATCTCTTCCTTTACCATTCATGGTTCACAGTTTCCAGCTGGGGTTGGGCTTAGGGTGCATGAGCAGCACCTAGGAAAGCTAATGGCCAAGACTCTAAGAGAGTGAGTCTGGGGTGGGGCTGGGGATTGGGACTGTTTAATGCTGATACAAGCCCAGCCTGGAAAACACTGGGCAAGCTGGGAGGGAGTGAGAAGTGTCCTCATTGGGGCCTATGTCCGGGTAAAGTGAGAGGTGTTCTGCATTCCCAGCTCTGCTGTGACGCACCCTGCCTTCTCCAGACTGTGTGTCACCCACCAGAACCCCCTCCTCTCCTCTCTCGATCCTCTGCACGCTCCTGTCCAGCCTTGCCTCTCTCTCTCTGCCTCAGTTCTCTGTCTGGGATCCACAGAAGTTCTGTTTCATCTGTACTAACCCCATCCTTCCTCTGAGGATTGGCCCTAGGTCTCAGGGACCCTCCAAATGTCGTCCTGGGTTATTTCCTCTCTTTTTGGCTCCATCTGCCTTTCTGGGCTTGGCTTCTATAAGCCTGACCTGCTCTGCCATTCCCTTGGGGCAAGGAATGTCCCTGCCATTTTCAATTTGCCCCCAATGTGTTGATGATCACGCCTTCTACCCTGGGAGATCTACGCTGATGAGAATTCTTCTCCCTGGATGGGAAAGGATGCTGAAAGCCGGAGGTAAAGTAATGGGACTCTGGCTGAATCTGGACATGCTCAGGGTGGCACTGAAAGGCCCAGGGCTCTGCAGCAGCTGGGCTGTGGGACCTGTCCTACTGATGGGCATTCTAAGTCTTGTGGCAGCCCTTGACCTCTGGAGGTGGAGGAGGGCTAGGGCATTAGGGTTAGGTTCAAGGACTGAAGTTACAAGGTGAGAGGCTGGAGAAAGAATAGGGGAGGAACATCCTATGGAAACAGTGTGTCAGAACCCAGGACTGTCACTTTCCCAGTGTGTAAAATGCATGTGGACGTGGGTGGAGTATGTTGCCAGGAGACTAAATTCGTCCTACCTTATCTCAGGGGCTGATACAATACTTCTCTAGTAGGGCTGCCATATTTAGCAAATAAATAAAACAGATTAAATTTGAATGTCGGATAAGCAATCTTGTGTTAAGTGTATCCCATGGAACTATTTAATCTGACATCCTAATTTAATCACACATCCTGTCTTTTACCAGCATCTCTGTGTTCAAGGATACTTTTTTTTTTTGCAGTTTTTGGCCAGGACCAGGTTTGAACCCACCACCTCCGGCATATGGGGCTGGCGCCCTACTCCTTGAGCCGCAGGCGCCGCCCGATGTGTTCAAGGATACTTTTTAGTGGGGCTGGGAGAAGGGTGAGGCAACTAAGGTTTTCACCTTACTGAGTAAAAATACTCAGTGAGCAAAATAAATCATATTTTAGTGAATATTCTAAAAAGTTAAATCCACAAATCCTTTACAGAAATAAAATTTTACTGGAACTACAGCTTGAATACAGGAGAGGCAAGTGAGGCCAGCTCATGCAAGTCCAGACTCCCAGCCTGACCTCATCTAAAATATTGATATTTTGTTCATCAAGCAAGGGTTTTAAATGATTGCATGGAAATATCTTGGCTATCTTGCATGGATTTATCTTGACCACTGGGCCTTTTGGTGTCCCCTTAAATTTTGCACCGTGGTGAATGCCTCCCAGCCTCGGTTTGCAGGCTGGAAATGGAAGCCAAGTTTTCCATCCTTTCATTTCCTAATGAAGTGCATACTGCAAGTGCACAGTGAAATATAGATTTATTGTTTGCTGTCCAGATTATCCATAGTTTATTCATTAAAATACTATGTCCTGGCTCAGCGCCTGTGGCTCAAGTGGCTAAGGCGCCAGCCACATACACCTAAGGTGG